TTTTTGTAGGTTCCCAACTAGTTGTCACAAGCAGTGGTGGCCCCAGGGAGTCTCCCCACCCCCAACCATTTGCTTGCTTAGTCTAGTGGAGCTGGCAAAGCAGCTATGCCACTCTTTCAAAGCTGGGATCCTAAACACAGTTCACTGGTAGGAAAACTGAGGTTGAGGGAGGAGTGGCTTGCCTAAAGTCCCAAGAAATCCAACAAGACACAAAGTGGGGGCTGGGAAGATGGTTTGGAGGAGAGGTGTTTGCTGCACAAGAATGGAGATCTGAATTTGGATCCCCAACACCTATATAAAAAAGCAGGGGATCTCTGTGCCTGTAATCCAGTGCTAGAAGAGAGACTGGAGGATCCTGCATGCTCTGACCAGACCATTAGCCAATCGTTGAGGGGCAGTGAGAGACCTTGTCTCAACATACAAGATGGAGAAGGGGCTGGAGAGATGGCTCCGCAGTTAAGAGCACTGGCTGCTCTTGCTGAGGACCTGGGATTGATCCTCAGCACCTACAGGGTGACTCACAACCATCTTCAACTCTAGTTCTAGGGGATCTAACATCCTCTTCTGGTCCCTAAGAGCAATGTACATAAGGGGTATGCAGACATACATGCAAATGAACATTCATACACCTATAAACAAATAATTTAAATATAAGGTAGAGAGTGATTAAGAAAGACACTAAGTATCCACCTTCAGCCTTCACACAACTAAGCACACAACCAGAGGCCTCAAAGATGGGAAGAGAATATTTGCATGACCTCTGTCCTGCTCCTGCACTGAGGACTGGGATGAGAACACACCGCTCCAGTGGACCAAAGGTTCAGGATCCCAGATTCCTAACCACCACTGTGGCCATGGTGAGTCTGCTTCCACCTGCCCAGGTCCTTCCCTTTCCCTTGGGGTGTCTCTGGTTCCCCAAAGGCAGGGTTTTCCTTTATGGTAGAAATGAAGCCCCACCCCTTCCTGGCTTACCCTTTTCCCTCAGTACTCAGAGACCCTGAACTGTTTCCCAGAGGATTCCAGAAGTGATCTCAGACTCCACGAACAGCTCCATAAATTCCACTCTGAGTTTCTGCGAGCATTTTAGAGGCTGATTTATAAATACAATATCTCTCTCAAAATGAAACAATCAACATAGGATAAAATTATCGAGTTATGAAAATAGAGGTCAGACGGAGGTACAGTGCTTTAAATTAAACTGGCAAAATATATCTTTCATACTAAATTGACTCTTTTTGTCTTGGAAATGAATGTTTAATCAGTTAAGACATGGAAGTTGAGGGGGAAAGCCGTGAGCATATTTAATTTTGTAAAGGGGTCTGGTTCTAGCATCGTTCATAATCCCCCCTGGCGGCATCAGGAGAGGAGCTGCCTCCACATGCCCGTGAGACTTAATAATCAAGCAGGGGACCAGAAGGCATTGGTGGCCTCTGGAGTCAGCACTACGGGGGCCTTGGCACTGATGAAATGGCTTCCAAAGAGCAAAGTCTCCTCTACTCATGTCGAGATGGCATCTCTGGGAACAGCACCTGGCATCCAGGCACCCTCTGTGCTCCCTGAGCCTGGCTGTGCAATCCTTCACCCTCTGGTCAAAGTGAGAGATAGTTAGAAGGACTTGGTAGGTGTGACTTCCGGCAGTTCGGCTTGAGAGTTGGTGGCGTTTTCACTCACAAAGACAGCATACAGGTCTGCCTCCTGCTCAACTGTCACTTCCCATGTGAGGGACAAGGTAGTTTACAGAATCATCTGCTATCCTGTGTTGCGCTGCGACTCCGTCACTGGCCAAGCCACAGTCAGTATTGCTAATGATGGCCTCGGGCAGACAAGGCCGCTGAGGTACTGGGGTCTTGGTACTCCACAGAAATTGTGTTTTATCATATTCCCACCCCACGAAGGCCAGTGCTCCCAGATACAAAGCTATTGCCTCCCCCGTCCTGGTCAGATGTCTATTCCAGGCAACAGACCCCGTCCACTAGCTGAACATCTACAGCGTTGTCTGAGAAGCAGACTGCATCTGTTGGCTTTCCAGCACTATAACAACATCCCTGGGTCAGCTCACAGGGTTAACCAAGGATTGCCGTGGCTTGGTTGAGGGAACACATGGCTTTGGGCCTCTGTTGAGGGGAGCACAGCATGATGGGGACATATGAGTGAAGGGCCACATCTGGAACCAGAGAGAAAAGAGACCAGAATACCACGACCCTTTGTCCCTAAGGGCCTTCCACTAGGTTCCTCCTCTTAAAGGCCCACAGCACCCCGTAACACCATCATCCTGGGGTCTGAGTTTTTCATATCAGCTTTGGGGGACAAAACCACATCTGAACTTCATCACAGACTCTTGATCCTCTCTCTGTTTGCATCTGGTGTATGTAAATGAGTCCCAGAGATCACAAGGCCTGTAGCCACGCCTGGCACTCAGAAGGTGTTCAAGAAGATCAGTTGGCAGGGCAGGTGGAAAAATGCCATACCCTACTAAAGATATTAAATCATGGCCAAGTGAGAGGGCTCAGAGGGTAAAGGCACTTGCTGCTAAGTCTGACAGCTGGAGTTTGATCCCTAGAACCCACATGGAGGAAGAAGAGTCCTCCAACCTTCACAGGTGTGCTGTGGCACATGCATGCACACACATGCCACACACTCAGAAAGAAAAGATACTAAGCCGTAGTCCTTAGAACCTGCAAATGTCACAAGAGCAAGTGGCCTTTACAGACAAAGTTCAAGCTCAGGACCACAACATTGGTCTAATTCTAGGTTAGACATACAGTCCATCATAAGTGTCCGTATGAGAAGGGCAGGGAGCTATCATTAATAAAAGAGAAGCCAGAGACCAGGGAGAGACAGAACCACAAGCCAGGGAAGCCGCTAGAACAATAATTCTCAACCTGTGGGCCATGACCCCGGTCACATATCAGATATTTAAATTATAATTCATAACAGTAGCAAAATTACAGTTATGAAGTAGTAGTGAAATAATTTTATGGCTGGGGTCCCCACGCCATGAGGAGCTGTATCGAAGGGCCGCAGCATTGGGAACGTTGAGAAGCTCTGGAAACTAGAAGAGGTAAAGATGGACACCCCGGAATCTCCGGTATAAGCACAGATTCCCAGAACCTTGATTTCAACTTGAGGTACTGGTTTTGGACCTCTGGGGCTGTGAGTAGTTGGATCTCTGGTGCGTTTGAGCTGCCGGTTTGTGGGGATTTGCTATAGCAGCCATGGAAAGCAGAAGCCTCCAGCCCTCGGCATCACTCTGTGGAGTGGCCCTCCCTGCCTCTCTCAGTGGAGGGGAGCGCGGTGTGAGAAAGCATTTACAAATCCCTCTGCATGCTGTTTGACACCCAGCAGGTGCTTCCATAATCCCTGCTTCATACACACAGCAGCGTGGCACACCCACACACACTTTGTGCTCACAGTTCTCCTGAATTCAGAAGTCCTGTTTGTTGTCAAGGCCGCTTGCCTTCTTACCACCCCACCCCAGCGTATCGCTCTTATCCGGCTTTCCCCTTCGGTGGAGGCCTCTGCCCTGGGTAACAAGGTCAGGCTTAGCTCTCATTAAGTAAGGAGGGGGATATAAAATCGAACGAACCCCTGCAGTTCTAGACAAATGGAGAGCTGAGACCGTGCATTGGAGACGCATACTAAACATGGGCCGGTTGTGAGGAAAGCTGCAAAGGACTGGTTCACACGGTGCTCGTGTAAGTGATCGTTTATTTCCAAGGGGAGTCAGGGGTGGTCTGTGATCAACTGACAGCAGGCCTTGTAAGGATCGGAGCTGTTGTGGTCGGGAGGCTTGGGAAGGCCGCTGTGAGACTGGTCACAGTACATATGTGTGAAGGCCAGGAGGCAACTACAGGTACTGTCCACTTGGTTTTTTGGACAGGGTCTCCCATGAGCCTGAAACTTTCCTCAAAGCCTGGTTGTCAGCTGATATAAGCAGAGGCAAGCAGGTCGTGAGTTCAAGGCCAGAGTATACTGCATAGTGAGACCTTGTCAATAATTAATGAAAAACTCAATGGAAATGTGTGCTCTGCTTTCCAGGGGTCCGGATCTGTCCATCTCAACACAGCAGTAGCCCAATTTCCTCTTCCAAGTGGGTGACTGGTTCAGACTCCACAGTCACGTGGCCTCTGTCTGGTCTGCCCCTGCCATTATCTCAGCTCATTTTCTAACACATCCTCACTACTCTGGGTGCCTTTGCTGGGGATTACCTACAACACAAGGCAGGGCAGAGCCAGGCCACATGCTATGAGAGCCATGGTACAGGGATGAGGAGCATCATTGTCCCTACAGGTCCCTGCCCTGGGCTGCCACACTTTACTAAGACTGGGAGGGGAGTAGCTGCTGGACTTTGGAGCCCTGGGATTCACATCAGGGACCCTTTCCTTGTCTCTGAATCATAGCATCGGCCATCAAGACCTTGTCACCGGGTTTGAGATGATGTAGGTAGAGTCCTAGCCACTATTTGGCAAAGTGGGCAAGCAGGAATGGTTGCTCTTGCTGTTAGTCACCGAGCTAAACTGGGCTGGAAAGGTACCACGGTTAGTAAAGTGCTTGCTTTGCAAACATGAGGACCCAAGCGTGGTGGCATGCGCTCGTGTTTCCTGCGCTGGGATTGCAATAAACACTACTTGCAAGACTGAAGCCTCTTCTAGTGTGTGGGGGGGGTGCGGGGAGAGGAAAACATTTTCACAAGGATTGTACAGTTTCCCACTCTATGTTTGGGGATTGATGGCATGCATATATCTCAACAAATCTGCTAGAAATAAGATTAAGGTTATACTATCAACAACCAAGAAAATCAGTCCCAAGTTGCCACGAACAGAGCTGTAGAAGAAACAGTTTCCTTTCAAGCCAATCCCACACTCCACAGATTCTCCGAATTTAGCCAGCAAAACTCAATCCAGGCACAGGATCAGGTCTCCTCAGCTCAGCCCTGCTACTTGCTCCCCTCAAGCCCACCCTTGCTGGAGCCGTGGGGCCCGTGTGGAAGATGGACTCACCGTGGGCAGCTGTCCAGACAGCAGGTGGCTATCCTGGGCCAGCATGTTGGACACCATGATGGCTGGGAGGTCCATAGCTTGGTACGAGTAGGCAGGGAGCAGCCCGTTGGGCGCAAGGCCGTGGCACAGCGAGTGGTAGCCGGCTTCGTGGTCCCCCAGGTGCAGGAGGGATGGCTCAGGGAGGTTGGGAGGCGTTATAGGAGGAATCTCATAGTCTTCATTGCTCTCGCTCTGGCTGCTGTAGGTCTGAAAACATCAGAGGGACGGGGGCGGGGTTAGTGCCTCAAATTCTCAGAACACATTTGATAGCATCAGTAACAGCAGCAGTGGAAACAGTGCCCTCGACAAAGAGAGGACCACCATACGAGGCAGAAGGCCTAGCGACCTCCTGACTCAGGTCCTGCTCCACTCCTCAGTGAATCTTCCTCCCACTGAGAATCTGCAGACAAGAGCCTGGACTCCTGGAGAGTGGATTTCCCTGAATCTGCTCCTGATTTCCCAGAAGACCTGGCCCATGGTGACCTGAGAACCACCCTCCCTTAGCCACCCACTTTACAGAGCGGGACTTGGTCCAGAAGAGAATGGCCAAGGAGGATAAGCAATGAGCTGGGGACTGGAGGCTTCAGGCAGTCAGAGTCTCCTGAGCATCCCCAGGCATCTTGTGGTCCTTATCTCGGTGAATGACATTTGTCCTGTCGTGGTACAGACTAGCAGTTAGCAGCCCTCCTCTAGGTCAGCCCTCCTCTAGGTCTTACTGGGCCATTTTTCCCACCCCAATGAGCAGGCCTCAGGACAAGGCTAGTAGACCGTGAGCACTGCATTTGGCTTTCTCCTTGCCATAACCGTCCCAGGTTTACTGTAGATCATGGTGAGCATGTACTTTGAGCCCTGGCTTTGTGGCACAGGTCCTGGGTGTGCTTCAGTAGGTGGAGGGGACCTTCATTTGTCATTGTGAGTGAATTTTTAAAAATCATACATGGGTTGTAAAACTTTAATTACGTGTGTCTGTCTGTCTGTCACACCATGGTGCATATGTGGAGGTCAGAAGACAACTGTGTAGGTTTTGGATCTCAAACTCAGGCCCGACTTGATGACAAGTGCCTCTTGTCATCTCGAATTTTTCACTTTAATCTCATCAAACTATTTCCCCCATAGTCTACTAAAAGGCTCGGGTGCCCTTCTCATTGTCATCTAGTTAATATCAGAGCAAACTTGCCTTGTTTCTTTTTATTCCACTTCCTCCCTCCATCCTTTCCTTTTTTTTTTTTTTTTTTTTATTGAGAAAGAATTTACTCTGTAGCCCATACTGGCCTTGAACTCTCAGCCCCCTGAGTGCTGGGGGTCATAGGCATGTTGGACAAATCCTGCTTGGCCCTGATCTGTCGCTCATGTTTGCAGTGTTGGACTTGGTTGGTAAAGGCCTTCACATCAGGTCCACGTGTGAGATTAGCTTCAATCTCCCTGCCTGCGATGCCCAGGCCTGGAGAGCCAGTCTTCCCTCTCCATATTCTGGAGATGAGACCCAATAGAAGACAGCTATGTGAACTATAAGTCAGAGCTGAAGAAACTATCCATGGCCCACCAGAAACAGACAAAAAGAAGTCACACACAGAGGATAGCAGGTATCTCATGGGCTCTGTTTTAATGGGCCAGAGGAGTACCAGAAGAGGCAATGGTTGAAGATCTTCCAGAAGTGACGAAAGACACCAGAGGTATTTGTGAATAGGAGAAAACCTTCCTTAACATGTATGTGCAGAGAATGGAAGGCCTGTGGCACAGTGGGGCTGGAGAGGTGGCTCAGTGGCAGAGTGCTCACTCGGCACTTGTGATGTTCTGGGCTCTGTCCAGAGGAGGAAGGACATGGTTTGCTGTTCTGTATTGCTCTGTGAATCCAGCATGCAGACTGAGCAGCTAGCTAGCTATCCCCCTCTCCGCCGAAGTCTAGCCCTTTTCTCATGGATTGATGGACAAAGCTGTGCGTATAGGGAGGTTTGGGTAGAGCTATGACAGAGCAGGGACACATGGCTTGTTCCTTATGTTCCAGAAAGAACATGGCTTCTTGCTCACTGGCTCCCTCTACAGGGATATTATGGAGTTACCACACAGATAGGTAAACAGGTCTGGAAGAGGTGGCCACACCTAACTGCTGACTTCCCTTGGCTTTCTTCTCAGGTTGGAGTTTGCCTCAGTCAGCCCTGAGCTCTCTTCTCTTTCTCCCTTACACCCCCTTCCGGATACCCCAACAACCCTCGTGTTCAAAGCCCTGTAGGGGTCACGGTCAGCCTCTGTTCTTGGTTGCTCACCCAAGCACCACAGCGGGACATCTCCATACCCACTCGTCGTCCTCTTCTTCTACCTTGCACTCACCTGTATTCTCTGACCTCATCAGATGACGTCACCCTCCATGCACAAACCCGACGCTCCCCTTCACTCATCTCTCAATTCCAAAACAACTACTCCAAAATACGTTTAAACTCTACATAGTCCACTACCACCTCTCACCCCACCCGGGACAACCATGGCAACCTCCTCCTGGTCTCCCACAGCTCTTTCCTATCCCTGCACTTCTTCTAGTAACCAGAATCTTCTCTAAAAAGAATCATCCCGTTCCTGCCCCACGCCATGCAGCGGGGCAGTGGAACTCAACGGATTACAGCCAGCAGCCCGGGCTTTCTAGCCAGACTTGGAGGTCTCCAGCAACACCTCCGCACCAACCAGGAGCCCACTGGGTGAGACTGGGCACTATTATGATGTTTTTAAGTTGAGGGAGAGTGGTCCTGTTATGGGCCACGATGGTCTAAGCTGGACAAGGAACCCCACACTCGGGCCTGGGGCAGTGAGCCCCAGGTTCCGAGAAGAAAACAGTGGCCCTCCAGGCACCTTGCAGCCACAGGCAGATGGGCATTGCTATGGTGTGTTGGGACTAATGAGTCCTGGCTTTCAACTGCTTCCCTGCTAGAACCTTCTAATTGAAGTTACTAGAAGCTGTGCCTAGTTTAGAGCATCAGAGGATGGGATTTTCACCTGTTGGCCATTGACTTCAGTGTATTTAAGCCTCCATGGTGCTATTAAAGAGGGGCTTCTTGGTACCAGTGTTGGAAGGTCTGTATGTCAGTCAGTCTGTCTCTGTGTGTGTATTCTCAACCTCCAGCCCCTTGCCTGAAGCTCACGAACTGGGTTCTAGCGCATAGAGCGCAGACGGATGCGCGGCAATGGTGAGCAAATGTATGGAGTGATAAGGGACAGAGAGAAACAGAATATTTATGTCCTGGGGATAGAGGCATAACTGGAAAGGTAAAAGAGATGAGGAGTGGGTGAGGTGGGTGGCTTCATTGCCACCCAGGACCACAGGGATGTCTGGGCCTGGGCTTCTTCTGGGGGCATTGTCTGGGTTCAGTCTCTGATGCAGCTCCGGGCTCTGCTGATGTCTGTGGCTCCTGATACCACCAAAGGCAGAGAGGATAAGACTGTGCAGAGCTGGCCCCACCCCTCACTGGCTGCAACACTGGGGAGAACTGGTCCTGCCCCTCATTGACTGAAGCACTCAGAAAAAGGATCTCTGCTCTCCTGGGCTGCACAATGAGCCTGTTCACAGGGGCATGGTTAGCGGGCCCTGAGAGTGTGGGAATGGGCGAGCTGACCACGCCCCTCACCTGCCAGGTGGTGGTGGTGGCAGAGGTGAGGGAAAGATTCCCTCCTAGGACCACACCTCCCCTGCTTATAGAGTCAGCCCTGTCCGTGGAGGTGTGGGCGAGCCAGCACCAAAGCCGTGACCATGGGAGAGGTGTCCCTGCCTCTCATCAGCTGCAGCACCTGGGACCCAGTCCCAGAACCAGGGTTATGAGTTGGCCCACCCCAACATCTGCCTCATCTGTGACCTGCTGGAGCACAGGGGAGGAGCCAGAGGATATCTTCGACACAGGACCCAACAGGATGTCCAGGTCCCAGCGAGGGCCCGGCATTGATGGTGCAGCAGAGACCAGGGGCCCTGAACCGTACCAATGATTCTTTTCAATAAATGCCTGCATATAAAGACACATGGATAAAGGGTTTACTGCGTGACTCACTGGGTCACACTGCAGCTTCTATGACAAGATTTTCCTTCCCTCCCTCCCTTCCTCGTTCTTTCTCCCACTTTTTCTCTTAAATTTTATTTTGTTTTATTTTGGGTTGGGGCAGGAGATGGGTGGGATTGGGAGGCAGGATGTAAAAGACAAAGAATGAATGAATGAATGAATGAATGAAGAGACAGACTCATCCCACTAGTTGCTTGTGCTGCGCATGCTCAGACAGCTGCCCTGGCTTTATCACTATTGCTAATGTTTCACTGCACAGACTCACGGGTTCAGTTCCAACATTTTCACAGAGGTGTAACATGTACCTAATAAATTCCTCTCCTTTCCCAGTTTACCCCCCCTTCCACTTTCATGTTACATATATATGCCTATGTATATGTATTTAAATCTAAATTTCACATATGAGAGAAAGCAAGTGATATCTGCCTGAGTCTGGACACTGAACATGGGGAGCTCCAGTTCCTATCTTTTCCCTGCGAATGACATGGCTTCCTTCCTCACGTCTGAGTAGAACTCCGTCATGCCACACTGTCCTTACCCTCTGTCTAGGCTGGCTCTCCCATCATTAGCAATGTTCCCTGGACATGTGGCTACGCTGGCTTAGAGTCCTTCAGGTACACATCCGGGAACCCCATGGCCTTTGGGTCCAAGATCTTGGTCTCAAACATGGTGCTGTAAGTTCTCCCATGGTCTGGTCGTTGCCAGCTCAGGACTGCTCTTCCTGGAATTGCAGGGCACTAAGGGACCTTTCCAAGGAGACAGAACAGATGCCAGCTGCTCACTGGCTCGGCATTCTCACTGGTGTGTTCTTTAATGTCTGTGCCACAGGTCCATGTCCCGTGAGTTAGCTTGTCTTCAGCTTCACCACCAAGATGGGTTGGGAGCAAGTGTCTGGATGGACTCAACCACGGGTATCACATCACTCCAGAATGCAAAGGCCAGGGTCACCTCCTCCTAATGCCCCCCCCACCATCTGCACTTTATGTGCTAGAATCCAGTTCACGAGCTAAGGGCAAGGGGCTGGAGGTCAAAAGGCCCTCTTTAATAGCACCATGGAGACTTAAATACCCTGCAGTCAATGGCCAACAGGTGAAAACCCCATCCTCTGATCCTCTAGGCAAAGCACAGCTTTTAGTAACTTCAATTAGAAGGCTCTAGACAGGGAAGAGA